GTCGAATGTGGATGCCCTAAACCCTCCCTCGCTACCTGGGGGTCAAAACGAATCCTATTGTAGGAGGGTTTAGGGTTCATAGACTCCTAATTCAGGGTTTAGGGGTTTATAGAAGTATAGGTCACTGTATGTTCGCAGCGTTCACCAATGCTGATGTCTCACCGAACCCCAAATGGACTTGGCCAAGCTTTGCAGGTGCGTGCGACTTGGGGGTGCAGCGACGATAATCCCAGCTTCTTAGGGCTCAGTTTGGGGGTTTCCGAAATTAGGGGTACCTTATAGGGGAATCCTACGTGCCACAAGGAAGTCAGACTTACGTGCCGACATCTGAGGATTACAGGAGTGCTCCGTGGTGAAATTGGTTTTTAAGTCTTGCTGTTCAACTTCGGGCTTGCTGGAAGCAACCCATCCACCCCAGTGAGCCGATTCTCAAAGAGCTGTTGTCCACAATCTACGCTGGACTAGCTGTGAGCAGCTGCTGGCATTTTTTCTGATCAGACGCGGCATGCGTTGCAAATTCTGTTCTGCAGCAAAGCAGCCTCTGTGCACACTGATAGGCACGCACAGATGGCTCCTTAAGGCTATTTAGGGGATAATGAAGCCTAATTAAGGTTATTTAAGGGGGAACCTAGAAGGAATAAAGTAGCCCTAAACCCTAAATAAACCCTAAACCCTAAACCCTGAACCCTAAACCTTAGAGGGGGGTAGTAGGGGATAGAGGGGGGCAGTGCCCAAAGAGCCCACACCTCATAGCAAGATCTCGTGCTCGTCAACTGGATGGCGCCATTGGCTCTCAATGCCATTGTGGTAGCGCGCAGTCCCCAGGCAGCACCGCTCCAGGTTTCCTCAGAGAAGCTGCCGGTTGAGCAAAAAAAACCACCCTATACCGGCCTATACCACTATCATCCCTTAGTAGGGTATATGAATCATAAACCCTGTATAGGGAAGCCCTAAACCCTACACCCTAAACTACCCTAAAGCCGAATCACTTAAGTCCGCATTGAAGAGCCCCGGCGCCGCCCACGGCCCACCCTCTCCCCCTAAGCCCAAACTCCATCCAGGACTTGGACTTAGACCCCACAAACGCGGTTAGGGTTTAGGGTTTAGGGCTTAGGGTTTAGGGTTTCGGGTTTCGGGTTTAGGGGTTAGGGCTTAGGGTTTAGGGTTTGGGGTTAGAGTTTAGGCTTTGGGGTTCTTGCATTGTTTCTCAACCCTGTAAGCATGTTTGTTGCTTTGTGTCCGGAGGTGTAGCAGAAAAGGCTTGTAATGGCTTGCAAGGGGGGGGGGGGGGGGGCACAGGGTTTAGGGCTCAGGGTTTCGCTTCGCACGGGGAAACATGACATGCCCTCTTCTCATGGCACATGCTTAGCAGGCATATAGGCACTACTTTTGTGCCCGTCGTATAGGTCAAAGCGCAGCAATCAAACGCCTCTCTACCGCTCTTTAAGCCCAGCATCCGAGTCCCCACAGGAAGGACTGGAAGACGTTCCACTGGCGATGGCTTTCGTAGGTGTCTTCTACCAAGTGCGGACGCCTCCTCATGGACTAGATGCAGCACATGCAAAGTAATTGCAGCCGTTCCGAGAGCCAGAAAACTTTAGGAAAATGCGTCCTAGCACGCAGCAAGGAGCATGTTATGTGGGTCTTCTCCAGCCATAGCGATCACAGGGGCTAGCAGAATGCCCAGCACTGGATGCAAGCGCATACCGCTGTTTTCACAGTCTCCACAGCCACTGCCGACAAACTTTCGCCTGTCTGGAGGGCAGCAGACGCCGCAAGTGGCAGACAATGGATGGAAGCGGTGTCTTACATTGGGTTTCCAGGTCTTGTCATCCAGAACCAGCTGCCCTACGGAGAGCTGCTTTCGCCTTGCTCTCCTGATGCACCCTCTCCGGCAGAAGCGCCTTGGCCGCTCTATAGATGCTCCAAACACGCAACGAAATCAAATGAAACAGGTCCACTACTCTCCCACTCTCTCTCTCTCTCTCCCATCCATTTAAGTATACATAGAACTATATATACATGTATATATAGAGGGCGTCGACTACAACTCAATGGACACCAGAGCATGTCGGATCTTCCCGAGACATCTTTGAACCGGGTTCAGGGCAGCTTCGCGCAGCCCAGTCGCAACACCGGTGTGAAGGCATTCCGTTCCGAGAAAGCTTTGCAGCTTGCCCGGAGGAACAAGAAGTCAGTCATGGGCAGAAGCTGAAGCAACCTGGAGGTGTACGAACATAAGGGCACCCTAATATAGACCCCCATATATAGAAGGATTCCCTGAAAAAAAAGGACCCCAATATTCAGGTACCCCCAAAAATTCGGAAACCCCCAACCTGGCGCTCTTCATCGCGATGGTGGACCTCGCCTGGGCGAGGGCCTTGCAGCTGCTCCTCAGAGGAAAGAAGTCCTCGTTGGGCAGGAAGGGGGGTATCTTGCTTCTTAACATCAAAGAGCTGCTCAAGGAGAAGGGCGCCGAAGTGGAGACCACCTTCAACTCGGCCACTACAGGCTCCTCTTGGCTCGTCGCAGTCGCCGGAGTCGCCCTATCAACACAGTCGCTCGTGGCGCTGCGCGCGCTGTCCTTGGTGGCGCACCTGGCCCTGCGCCTGCTCCCGAAGGGCAGGCACAACCATGTGGAGGTCCGGCCCAGCGCACTAAGCACGGCCATCGTGTCAGAAAGTCGCGCGGCTCACGAATCCCTTTAGTCCCCAGCCCTGAAGCCTTCGGCTGCGTCACACCACAGCATCGCGGGTTTCAAGCAGCAGCGAGCCAAACTTCAATTTCATTCCCAACGCCGGCTGCCGCGGTAATTACTTGCAAAGGCCCATTTCGACAAATCTCACGATCCTAGGCAGAACTGAACAGGAATCTGCTCTGCTTTCGCAGACCCCAGACAGCCACTGAGAAGGCACCGCTGCCTCGTCGAAGGTCCGATGCTGGCATCCGATCGCGACCAGAATCGCGCCTCGGCGGGTTGAGGATTAATGCACCATATAAACTACGAAACAATACACAATAGCAATACAAGATGATAAACGGACAGCCTGTACCGGCATACGAGTGAGTTTTGTGCTGGGAAGCTCGTGTAATTCAGGGGAGCCATGTACCTACATCCAACTCATTTGCAGCTGCGACGTCTTTCACATAGAACTGACCGACTCTCTTGATTGCCTGAGACGACTGAAAGGCACGTAGACAGCAATCCCGTCCCTCTTGCAACTGAGACATGGGGGTTCATTGCACAACGAAAATGCTGAGGCCAGCAGCACTGAAGTGTGGACAAGCGCACCTTGGCTGGCTTTCAGCTTACCCTAAACCCTAATCCCAATAAACCCTACAAACCCAAACCCAAACCCTAAACCCGAAATCCTAAACCCTAAGCCCCAAACCCTACCTAATCCCCAATCCCACATGTGAAGCGTTGCGCGCCCCACACCAAGGCAGGCCCTAACCCATCTCCCACTCGATCAGGGTCTAGGGTTTAGGGCCTAGGGCTTATGGTTTAGGGTTTAGGATTAAAACCCTAAACCCTAAACCCTAAACTTTAAACCCTAAACCCTGGATTGAGGGATATGGGGTTTACGATCCGGGCTCAGGGCTTAGGATCAAAGGGTTTGGGGATTCTGGCCCACCTAGGAACTCTGGAAGCTTGAACGCCGCTCGAAAGCCCCCCCCCCCCCCCCCGCCCCGTGAAGCCCTAAACATCACCTAAACCCCAGACATCCCAAAAAGCCCCAAACCCCAACACATGAATGACACATATGAAGGCCCTAAACCATGAACCCTGAACCCTAAACCCCAAACCGTAAACTCAAAACAACACTGAACCCTGAAACCCTAACCCAAAACCCTAAACAGTACTTGAATTGCCTGGGCACCTCCGGCATTCGCCGCGACAAGAAGAGGGTCGCCAAAGTCGGACTGGCTCTGAACAGTTTAGGGTTTAGGGTTCAAGGTTTGGGGTTTGGGGTTTAGGGTTTTTGAGGGTTTAGGGAGGGCTCCGGTGGTTTCTGAGGCTCGGAGGTTCTGGGTGTAGGGAAGAGGGTTTAGGGGAACAGTTTAGAGTCTGGGGGAAAAGACAAAAACGGACACAGGAGGGTGCATAAGGGTTTCGGGTTTATCGGGTTTACAGAGTCTATAGGGTGTATAGGGTTTAGGGTTAGAGGGTTTCGGTTACCCTTCAAAAAAAAACTAAACTTCCCAAAAAAAGTGTTTGGAGGAAAAGGTTCCGACTTCTACCCCCTGAGGCTGCTGAAAACCTCCTCAAGCACGCCCCGTGCGGCACGATGTCCAGGACCAGCGCGTATTCAACGAGGTTCTTGCCATACTGCTCCAACCTGCAATCGGGTTTGGGGCTTAGGGCTTAGGGTTTAGGGTTTAGGGTTAGGGTTTAGGGTTTAGGGTTTAGGGTTTAGGGCTTAGGGCTTAGGGCTTAGGGTTTAGGGTTTAGAGTTTGGGGTTTAGGGTTTCGGGCTTGGGGTGCAAGTCTGACCTTGAACAACTGCCACATGAGACTTCAGGAAAAGGCGGGGAGAGCCCTAAACCCTAAACTCCCTAAGGCCAGAAAGGGATCAAGGCCCCACTGAAGGTCCTACTTAGGGTCCCCGAACCAATCGCCTGACGGTGGTCGGCCGATTCTTGAGACCCCTAACGACTGGGGACTCGAACCTCGCACAAGTTACGGTTAAAGGTTTAGGGCTTATGGTTTAGGGGTTTGACCAACAAACCGTCCTGTCCACAAACTAAATTTAATAACAAATGAGTGAAGGTTTTCTTACTGCTTCTTACGCCTTAGTGGGTACCTAGATCCTTGAATCTCTACGAAATAAGTCAATATATACATGCTTAAGGAACCCTATGTGCACTAACCACTGACAGTCATGTACACCCACGTATAACCGGGCCCATAGGCCCGTAAATTCCGATGCCTGTGAATGTCATCGCGCGACAGGAACTGCAGCAAAGACGCGGCGGTCAGCGGCTGCTGAATCTCTACCGGAGACCTGGGCCCAGGAGCTTTTGAGGGCATTTTCTGTTGGGTTGCGCTGCTTTAAGCTTTGTGGGCATTTTTCCTGGGTTGAGGGAGTTTAAGGCAGACTTGGGAGCTTAACGTTGGCTATAAGCCTTGTGGCCATTGTTTTGGGTTGAGGGAGTTTAAGGCAGATTGGGGTGGCTTCAGGGTTTGGGGAGTTGAGGGTTGAGGGTTTAGAGGGTTTAGGGCTTACGGTGCTCCGGGCCTTCAGTTTCCAGGATCGGGGAGTGCAGGCTCGAGCAGGTTCAGGGCATGGGCCCTAAAGGAGCTCGCGGTGCTTCTGGGCGCTCTGCGTGGACTTCGCATGTCATCGGAAGGCTTGTCAGGGTGTTTTTGCTAAGCTCAAGAGTTCTTCATGCCTTCGTGATCCGCCTCACATTCTCGCCGCTCAGGGCCAGTAAGCGCCGAACTCAGCATCCGCATCCTCCGGGACCACCTGAGCTGGCTATGCGACTCTGGGGTCAGGACGATATAGGAAGTTAGCGGCGGCTTCCATAAAAGTGCCCTGCATCTGGGATGATGGGAATTGTGCTGTAGGAGCTATGTAGAGAGTGGGTCAAAGGCGCCTTTGACATGCCGCAGCCTCATCAAATCGTAACTTCTGCTGCTCTTCAGGGCTTACCAACTTAGTGTAACTCCGGAACTTCAGCACAGCGCCGAGGATCACCACGTCAAACAGATTCTCCCTTGGACCCCTAAGGTTGTACCCTTGCGTTTGGGGACCCTTTTTCAAGATCCTCTAAAGGAATCTAAGGGTCATATTTTGGGGACGCTTTTTAAGGATCCTCTACTAAAGGAAGGTAAGGGTCACATTCGGAGTATAAAAAGGAAACCTCTTGGGGGTACATTCTTAGGGGTCCGGGGTTTAGGTTTTAGGGTTTAGGGTTTATAGGGTTTAGGGTTTAGAGCACGCACTTCGAACGAGAGCAAGACCAAGGCCGGGGCGTTGTCAGCGGGTGGCGGATCGACCACGGACAGTGCAAGTCTTGTGGGGTGCTTGGAGAAAGGCCTCGGAATCCAGGTCAGCTTGAAGCAGGCAGCCTTCAACTCAAAAAAAGCATCAAGAAGCCACAGCTGATTTTTGTACACCTTCTTGAATTTCAAGGGGAACCCTAGACCCTAATTAAACCCTAAACCCTGAACCCTAAACCCTAAACTCTAAACCCTAAACCCTATAAACCCTAAACCTGAATCCCCACCCGAACCCCAAAACCGAAGACACGGGACGCTACGGAACTCCGGCCCCACAAACCAGCAGGATGAGGACTGCGTCTTCCTCAGGATTCACAATGCCTGCCCTCCTTTGCAGGCGGCCGAAGAATCCCACAAACGGGGTTATAACCAAAGCCTACAAAAGGGAGCAAGCAGCCCTGAGTCCTACCTCTGAGGCCGGCGCGATGCAAAAGGTAGGTGGTTCTTAGGTTGATGCATTGGGTTCTCAAGGTTCCTGGACTCGAGCTTGCTCCCATTCTTGTTGTTTCAGTGGGCCTTTGTGAGAATGCAATGTCCACCCCGAAGGGCCAGCAGAGACATCTCTAGAGTCTTCTGGTCCTCACACTCACCTGCATGACTTGGCTGCACTCAGAAGGGTAGCCTAAATCAAAATTTTTAGCTGCCATTTTAAGAAACCCAATAAGCCCAAAAAGGCTAAGGATCTAAAGTTACAGTAAAGCACCACAAAGATGATTTCTTCTTGCCCCGAACCAGGAACTAGTACCCCTGGAACTGAAGCGTCTGAGGGTGCCAACCCTTGTAGCAGACGCAGGAAGCGTAGCCGGAAGTCTGCCACGAAGTGGTCAATAACCTGACTTTACAATTTAGCGGCCCGCTGACTGTACTAAGTGTAGTTAAGGGAGTTATGACTAACCTAGGGACCCCCAGGTGTAGTTCTCAAGGATTCCGCCCCCCCTCAACAACTGCGAAAGAACAGCACGGGATAGTTGGTGAACACTCATTCTTCCAAACCCCTCAACCTAAACCCTATACACCCGAACCCTCCCCGCAACCCGCAGCAAGGTTCGTTTGGGGGAAGCCAGAGAACCTGAAAGCCTCAAAGTGATCCCCCTACCAAGCAGTGTACTAAGTGACTGCGCGCTTCCAGGGGGCCAGGCCGATGTGGGCGCTGCCCCCACTCCGGACCATGAGATATTTTCTCGAAGCCCGCTCACATTTTGGACAGAACATCGCGCTCTCGCCTAGCCGTCGTCAAAGCCGACATCGTTCTTTGGCTTTCCGGGCCCGCGAGATGCGAAACTGTTGCTGCTTTGAACGCCTGTGCTCGCCAAATGCGAAGCGCTTTTCGACGTGTGGGCTCACATGGTCCCTCACTGTTTGGGGTCCACGCTGGTAGAAAACAGATTGAGGCACTTCAATAGGTACAAGCGGGGGCCCCCTCACTATACTAGCTTTCATTGAGGGAATTTACAACCTGAGTAGTAAGACACATAACCCAATTAAGGGCCCTTTCAATTTGTCACTAGGGTGCCCCTACATGTACCTGTTCCGACCCCCTATAATTAGCGGAAACAAAAAGCTCTGCTTCCCTACTATTTGCTGAAGAACCCCAACAGAATTTCAAAAAAATGATCCCTGTATTACCCTTAGTAAGGAAGAATAGTTTGAGTTTTTCGGGGGTTCTTAAGCAATTAGTAGTTCCATGTGTCCTAGTAGCCCTAAACCCTAAACCCTAAACCCCAAACCCTAAACCTAAACCTTCCATGTGCATCTGCCGCAACCGGCTCCGCGCGCGCGTCGCCCTCCAGCGGCGCCAGGGTGCGCAGCAGGATGCAGGAGTGCTCGCCTCTCGCGGAGGTTGGGTGCAAGCCCTGCTTAGGGTTTAGGGTTTAGGGTTATTAGGGGGTTTAGGGTTTAGGGTTTAATTAGGGTTTAGGGTTTGGGGTTTAGGGGGTTTAGGGTTTGGGGTTTGGGGTTTAGGGTTTGGGGCTTAGGGGGTTTAGGGTTTAGGGGTTGGGGTTTGGGGTTTGGGGTTTGGGGATAAGTAGAGGGTCCTGAAGTTCCTAGCGGTATAGCTCCCGGTACTTTGGAGGTGCTGAGATGTCTTGAAAGCTGAGGATGCAGCCAAAAAACTAAACCCGGATCCATTCGTGCTGCTCCGAAGCCTCAATCGATGCCCCAACTTGTTTTTCAAAACCCAACCGTTCAACATGTCAGCTTCACGGGGAACAAACAAAAGCCCTTTCTAAGCCCCTAAGCCCTCAACCCCCTTCATGGGGTTTCGGGTACCCCTTCATGGGGTTTAGGGTGTAGATGGGTTCAGGGCTTGGGGTTTAGGGCTTAGGGGTGACGAGTTGGGGGGCCTGTTGCCGCATGCGGCTGCTGGCGCCTGCACCGGGCAGCCAGAACCCGGCTCAGAGCTTCTAGGGCATGATACTGGAAATCATGTTAACATACCCTGGCTTAGGGCTCAGGGCTCAGGGCTAGGGTTTAAGGTTTCGGGTTGAGGGCTTAAAACTCCGTTCGTTAGAAGTCGCTGCGTCTGCGACGTCGGTATTGGAGGCAAGAAAGGGCTCTAAGCTTGCATGAGAAAAGACCACATTAAATGTAACATTTGGTATAATGTGACATCACTTGAGTTCTGAGGTGTGGCGTTTGGCTGTAGGGGTAGCTGCCCTCCACTGGAACCCTAAACCCTAAACCCTAAACCCAAAACCCAAAACCCAAAACCCTAAACCCTAAACCCTGGCGAAGAACTACCGAGCCCGGCACAAGTAGACGGGACGAAAGCCCGAACGCCGCCAGAACCTGCGTCTTCAGTTAGTGTTTTGGGGGCCCTGAACGAGTTTATGGTTCGTATACACTAAACCCCAAAAGGGTTTACGGTTCACATACCCTCAACCCTAAAAAGGCTTTATAAATCATATACCCTAGAAAGGATTACAGAAGTATGGGTAGGGTATATGACACCAACTTTTGACCCAAAGGTGGGGACCAATCGATCCGCTAAGGGTTTATGGTGGCCATGGTAGTGTAGAGGGTTTAGGGTTTGTGGCTCCAACTTAAATGTAGCTCGGCTTCGAAGGCTGTTAATGCAAGCGCGAGACACGTGAATGTAGTCGCCCGTGCAGCAGAACACTCTTTCACATCTAGCTGAGTTCCTAGGATGTAGAACCCTAAACCCTAAACCCTAAACCCTAAACCCTAAACCCTAAACCCTAAACCCTAAACCCTAAACCCTAGAATTCGTATGAGTTCAGCACCTTGGAGCTTTTGGGTGCAGGCTAGATGGCGTGCAACACCATTCAGGGCGACCTTCAGGAACCCCAAAGTTTAGGGTTTAGGGTTTAGGGTCTAGGGTCTAGGGTTTAGGGTTTAGGGCTTAGGGTTTAGGGTTTAGCGTTTAGGGCAAAACCTATCTTTTATGTTGGTACCGGAAAATCCTATCAAGGAATGTGTAATAAGAACCGACAAGAATAGGCAGGCTTTGAGTTCGTGAGGTAGTGTCTTTTGGGTTTGGGGTGCATAACCCTCACACCTAAACTGAAACATTCAACCCCCCCCCCCCCCCTCTTCTACGTTGAGGGTGACTCAAGTTCTCTGGCTGTTGCGACTTCTGGCCGAGCTCCGAATCACCCTTCCTTATCTCACCTGTTTGACACCCCTACACCGCATAAACCCTAGAACCTAAACCCCATAAGCCCATAACCCCTGAGGCCCCCTAAACCCTACGATCCCCCGTGCAAAGCCCTGAGCCCCACTCGTCCGCCCGTAGCTCTTCTAGCAGCCAGGCAAGCTTTTGGGAATCTACGCAACTTCAAACGCCTGACTTCTAGAACTCCTTAGAAAGCACACAAGAATAAGGTGCCTGGAAGTATAGCTACTAGACCCAAGAGTAACTTTGGAATAAGAAGGGTGCCCTGTTTGGTGTAAAGTGTAATCCCTAAACACCCCAATTAAGCAAAGGGGAGTCAGGGCCAACTCTGGGTTTGTTATTCTAGGGTTCGACACTCAAACCCTTGTAAACCTAAGCCCGATAAGCCCGAAAGACTACAATCTCTATTGGGGCATATAAACCATAAACCCTGTTGGGGTTGATCTGTTAGGGTATATAAACCATAAACCCTGTTAGGATTGATTTGGTCCACAAGGCTCTAGGGTCCGACACTTGAGCTTAGGCATCTGGGAGGGCCCCGCTCGAAGAGCTCGTAAGTGAGCCCGAAGGAGGTTCCGACCTTGAATGTCCAGTCGACCACCCGAACTGGGATTCCCGAGGCGTCTAGGGTTCAGGGTTTAGAATTTAGGGTTTAGGATTTAGGATTTAGGTTTAGGGTCTAGGGTTCGCGAGACCCTAAAGTCGGCAGCTCAGATCAGCAACCATCAACACCAAGAGCCCTCAACAGAGCATTGTTCAAATCCTGCCACACGCAACACCCGGAATCATCACGGTGCCGGGCATAGTCCAGGTCGTACGGCGGGGGCACTTCGGCTGTTGCCTTGCAGCGTTGTACGAAGTTCTTTCTCTTCTGCTAGGGGTGGCTGCTAAGAATTCTGCCTTTTGCTGGAAAGGATGTGTATGGCGCATTTTGATTCGGCTAGTTTCTCCTGGGGCTCATCCTTGGACTAGTTCCATTTAGAGCCTGCTATTTGGACCCTGCCAAAATACGGCCATCTTAGTTTGGTAAGAGACTACTCGTTCCCACTACTACTTCTCAGGTACCCTACACCCTAACAACAGAAACCCCGTGCTGCATCAGCCCTATATTATAATTAACCCGAGAAGCCCATGAAAGCCCAAACCCTGTAAGCCCTCTATCAATCTATCAAACCAATCAAGCTCCCTCGCCGGAAGCCCTGTCAATCTATCAAACCTACCCTAAAATCAAGCCGGATAAGCCCTGGAAACCGGAAAAAACCCGCTCCGAACCTAGTAAACCCTCAACTCTTCAGTGCTTCCCCGCCTCCAGAAGCGGTGGCACCTCCCTGGGCGCAAGCTCCTGCTCTCTTGGGCCCCCAGGCTTGATGAGGGTTGGGGGGTTGGGGCCTACAGGGTCTAGGGCTTTACTTTTTGAAGGAAACCCTTTTTTGGAATGTGGGTCTTTCCAAACCCGCTAAGGGACGTAGCCGTGTAGGTGCGACAGTTTGGCTTCCACCCTAAACCCAAAACCCGAAACCCGAAACCCTAAACCCTAAACCCCAAGCCCTGAAACATCTCTTGGGCACCTTCAAACCCTCAACCCAAGCCTCGCCTCCCCTGAGGATTTAGGGTTTAGGGTTTCGGGTGTCGGGTTTCGGTCTCGGGGAGGCCCCAATCACGCAAGCACGTGTTTATTAAGCGCCACGGCGCCCCTCTCATCTTGTGTCCTCAGGGCAAGCCTTGGGCGCCGCAGTGCCCCACCCCCAAGAGGGTTTGCGATTCACGTACCCTAAACCCGAAACCCTAAACCCTAAACCCTAACCCTAAACCCTAAATCCTAATGTGGCAGAAAAAAGGCTGCGTGTGATCCCCAGTAGTTTCGTCCCCAAGCATGCCGTGCCCGGTACACCATGAACCCTCCGGCCGCCGTCCTCTTCATGAAGGCCTGAAGGGAAACACACATATCTACATACGTATAGAATACAAAAGCATACGTTGTAGTATACTATACTGATAAGATTCGTTTATATGTACAGGTCATATAAATACATACAGATATGCATAAATAAATCAACAAATAAATAAATATATAGACATATATATATATATATATAGATAAATAGAAAGATACATGTATACATATGTAATACGAGCAAAGAATCTTGGGCAGAGTCTCACACAGGCACTGAAGCAGAGGCCTGCAAAACGTTCGTGCTCTGATAGGTCCTTTGCCATACAATGGAGGCTCACAAATCTATCACCAGGAATGCCCGCTGAACAACAGAATTTTAGGGTTTAGGGTTTAAGGGTACCCACAACCCCAATTAGAAGCCTGATTATATACTTATAACCCACTTAGAGGACTTGCGGGACTTAGGGGGCTTATCGGTACAGTTATAACTGGGGATTAAGTACCCTGAACCTCCAAGTAGGATTTAGGGTTTAGGGCTTTTAGGGTTTGGGGTTTAGGGTGCGCCGCAAAGGCCAAACTAACCATCCCAAGATCGCAGCAAGCAAACAGCAAGGATGCGCAGGGGCAGAATCCCCAATTTCCAACAATCCGCCGGCCCGACGGCACAAGCACCAAGATCCAATGAATGGGATTTAGGGTTTAGGGTTTAGGGTTTAGGGTTTAGGGTTTAGGGTTTAGGGTTTAGGGTTTAGGGTGGGCAATGGACTGGACGCAGCGAGCCCAAAGGAACCGGCCTGTCGAAGCATCGCCGCCCTTGCTCTTCTTGCTCCTTTAGGGTTTAGGGTTTAGGGTTTAGGGTTTAGGGTTTAGGGTCCGCCGACCCTGGCGGCGTGTTGGATGGGAAAAGGAGGTGAAAACCTCCCTCTTTCCCTCCTTACCCCCCCAAAACGGGGGGGGGGGGGGGGGGGGGGGGGGTACCCGGGCAGCTTTTCCATGGAGGGCCAGGCCACCCACACCGCATAAACTCACGGACCATAGGCGGTTTCGCACAGGACATAGGGGCCCTTTGGGAAAAAACCCGCCCACCCCCCCTACCCCCCTCCTACCCCCCCCCAACCCCCCCCCCCGGACCCAAACGTTTCACAGAGGCTCAAGCACATCAACTTTTTTGGCATCCTTTGAGCTGACGAGCGCGTTTAAACCTTTCAACTATGCTCCAGCGGGGTCGGCGGCTTGAGCCGGAGGCTCTTAAATTTCGGGTTTCGGGTTTAGGGCTTTTGTCCCCAAGTAGCACACAGCGCGCGCAGATCATGCATTTGTGGCTTCGCAGAACTTGTCCCTCAACCCTCCGCCCTAAACCCTGTAGTCCCAAACAAAGGCGCTACACCTCTGGAGGGCTTCTTTAGCCAAGCACTCCAAAAGAACCACTTGCAAGTAAAACTGAGCTTGGCTGCACTTAAGAGGGTAGCTATGAATTAATGTTTTGCTGCCTTGTTAGGAAACCCAATAAACCCAAAAAGGCTAAGGACCTAAAGTTACAGTAAAGCACCACAAAGTGAGATTCAAGCAGGTTGAGGTGTATCGCGATTGCGTAGTATAATTACTATTGTTGTTCTTCGAGTTCTTATTGCGTAAACCCCAAATTAGCCTAGGAATAAAATGGGCACGCCTGTTGGTTTAAAGGGGCTTATAACCGAGCCTAGACAAAAACAAAGGGAATGAGATAACCCTAAACCCTAAACCCTAAACCCCCAAAAAGAAAGGGAAGATGGGCTTTCCGAAGTTTCGGCTCGGCCTTGGGCCATCCTCCCCGAAGGAGGCACCGCCGCGTGTCTTCTGCTCAAACCAGGCCTGGCAAGGGTTTAGGGTTTAGGGTTTAGGGTTGAGGGTAGAGGGTTCAGGGTTTAGGGTTTAAGGATAACAAACCAGCATTGCCTAGTGGACCAGATGAACCGTGGGTGTAGGGTTCAGGGTTTTTGATTCACATAATACCCGAATAGGGATTGTTATAGTAGCACAGGGTATATGACCCCCCCCCCCCCCCATTTTAGGGTTCACGTGGTCTTCAAGGTTCGTGTTTAGTGTTTAGGGTTTAGGGTGTGAGGAGCCATGCTTTGAACAGGCCGGAGCGACGATCATCTGCTTGACGGCTTCGGACGCATAGCCTGATGCAGGACTCAGCGTATCAAACGGTTTAGGGTTTAGGGTTTAGGGTTTGGGGTTTGGGGTTTGGGGCCGAACTGCATGCGGTTGATTCCAAACGACAGGACGACCAGGCTTCGCATCCTAAAGATCCGTTCCAGAAGCCCCGAGGCCCTAAACCCTAAACCCTAAACCCTAAACGCCTTTGACTCAACCTCAACATGCCTTTCCGTTGCAACGAGGGGTGCGTCGCGATGCGCACGATGCGGGCACCAGAAAGCTGCCCAAAGCCTGAGACGGAAAGTGTCAAAATGAACACCCATCAGAGTTTGGGGGTAGCTTGAGGTTGCCCTGAACCCTGAACCCTAAACACTCAAGCTAAACCCTAGTAAGACCCTACACCCGGATCCCGAAACCCTAAACTCGTTAGATTGAGGGGTGTTGTGAGGTTCTGGAGTCTGGAGAATGAAGAGGTCCAGGACTTCGGCATGTTTGCCAGAGCTCCCTGAACCCTGAACCCTAAACCCTAACCTCTAAACCCTAAACCCTGAAGGGTTTAGGGTTTAGGGTTTAGGGTTTAGGGTTTAGGGTTCAGCAGCTCTGGGTCGAGCAGTCTCTGGTCCGAGCTTGGTACAGGCTGATTCCAGCTCTTCCGCTGCAATCAAAAAACGGGCCTTGCCCACGAATTTCCGGCCTTGCCCGCGAATTTCATTGGGGTATGAGTTTCTATATGAGAGAGAGGGTGGAGGGTCCCATTCCTTCACCTCCCCAGATGCACAGGATGCTCAGCCCCACGCCATCGTGCAAGAAGTGCTGAGTCAGCGTCCACCTGGGTACTTTCTAAACTCCCGGAGACTGGACGGAGAGGACTCGAGGCCCAGCGCGTGTAGTGAGGGATAATGTTGATCGAGTGCTGAGTACATGCTGATGCTCCCGCGTCTGAGAGCAAAACTGTGAGATTGCTCCGGTTCTACTGCGCCTGCCTCCAACATGGTTCTAGAGGTCGGTTTTGCTTGTCAGCTTTGCTTCCATTTGGAAGCAAACTCAACCCATACTTGGTTGTCCAGCAACATGGGGGATTGAAGGTTAACCTTTGGGACTTTATTGGGGTTAGACTACCCAACAAAGGTTAAAGGCTACCTACTCTACTACTAAGAATCGAAGCTGCTGTGTTGGCTTGGCGCCAGCAGTCCGGCGGTGGACCTATTGGTCATGGCGCAGATGAAGGATGTGCGAGGACAAGGTCATGAGATGTGGAGCTTCCTACCAGGCTCTTGCTCAGGAACTTATACAGTAAGTATCCTGAGTATGGTAACTTCAAGTTCCCTAAGAATTGCCCAGTAGGCCGCATCAGGGAGGGACGTCCTAAATCCTGAAACACCCTAAGCCCTAAGCCCTAATCCCTCCTAATCCCGAAGCCTTAAACCCTAAACCCTAAGCCCTAAGCCCTAGAAACCCTAAGCCCAGCCACGGGATCAGGTCGCCCGAAGGGCGTAGGCCGCGTTTGAGGGACGCCTCTGGTCAACCCTTGGGTTTAGGGTTTATATGGATTTCAGGGTTTCTGGGTGCTGTTTAGAGGTTGAGGAACTGCAGGGTGCAGGGTTTGGGGCTTATAACGGAGCTTCCCTCCTAGGGACTTTGTGAAGGTCTGGGGTGATTCTAGGCTGTGCGTTTGGTGGGGGTCTGAGGTTTTGGGTTCACTTGCGCTTAGTTGGTCTAGGGCTTGTTGTACAGCTTGGGACTTAACGGTCCAAAACCTCATGCAAGTATACCCCCACCGTCCTAAATCTAAATCCTACACCCCCCCCCCCCCCCCCCCTAAACGCTAAACCCTAAACCCTAAACCCTACACCCTACACCCTAAACCCTAAACCCTAAACCCTAACCCCCCCCCCCAACCAAAAAAAAACAAAAGAAGAAGGACGTGAAGAAGGGTTTATGGCATACTGCAACTCTTTGCCTTGTCCCGAATCGCGCGTTCTGGCGCTGGCCTTCACACTCTCCTGGGACAGCGCACCCTCCATACAGATCCTCGGTGATCCCCCTTGGGGACCCAATGAAGCGTAAAAGGGCTTAGGCTTTCGGGTTTCGGGTTCATACACCTTAATAGGGATGCTAGTAGTAGAAGGTATATGACCCCAATTTTAGGGTGGATTTGGGGCACAAGGCCCGGTGAGACGACTGAGGACGAGGGCAGCTTAGAAAGGTCTTTAGGATTTTGGGGTTTATACAGAGTTTAGGGCTTAGGGTTCCTTTGGGGGGGTGCGATGTGGGGGTCCCAATGAGGTTTCCCAAGGTCTTTTGCGGGGTCATTGTATATTTTTGGTGGCATAAGGGGTACCCCCGCTTTTGTGAAAGCAGCCATATGTTGTTTCCAACGCGATTCGGCATGTCTCTTTATCCCAGAAGACGCAGATCACGACATCCGGTCCCGAACCTAAGATTCCCACTACAGAAATCCCCCCGTCTAGTTGTTGCCCGAAACTTACCGGAATTCAGGCCCTAAACTCTAGACCCTACACACTGAACCCGAACCCTAAACACTGAACCCTAACCCTAAACCCCAGACCCTAAACCCTCAATTCCTTAACCCTAACCCTAAACCCTAAACCCTAAACCTTAAACACTAAACCCTAAACCCTAAACCCTAGACTGTCCCAGGCTCTGGATGGCCACCAAAACCTCCGGCAACTCCGCTGTCTCGGAGCCAGCATCGATGGGAGGAAGCCTCGGAAGAGATTCACAAGGGTTTAGGGTTTAGGGTTAGGGTTTAGGGTTTAGGGTTGAGGGTTGAGGGTTGAGGGTTGAGGGTTGAGGGTTGAGGGTTGAGGGTTGAGGGTTGAGGGTTTAGGGTTTAGGGTTTAGGGTTTAGGGTTTAGAGTTTAGGGTTTAGGGTTTAGGGTTTAGGGAAATTTTCGCCCCCGCAAAAAACCCTCTCAATGATTAGAATATGTAGGGTTTTGGGGGCCGCAAAAAACCCTCTTAATGATTAGAATATGTAGGGTTTTGGGGGCCCGCAAGAAACCCTCTTAATGATTAGAATATGTAGGGTATTGGGGGGTTTAGGGTCTAGGGGGTTTTGGGCTTAGGGTTTAGGGTTTAGTCTAGGGGCCTGAATAATTAGAATATACATAGTGTTTTGGTTGGGGGTGGGGCAATTTTTGTATAAATATAAATGGGCCATAAATGAATAATTTTTGGCAATTATGCCGACCCCTATGTTGAACCTTGGGATATCCCCTCTTATACTAACAGTCCTTAACAGGGATTCTAGATAAACCCCCCCCCTACTATAATAACTATTAAAGACTTGCTAGAAAAAGGGGCCAACACCCCAAACCTCACCCTCCCGAAACCCTAAACCCTAAACCCTAAGCACTAAACCCTACACCCTACACCCTACACCCTAAACCCTAAACCCTAAACCCTAAATCCCAACCCTCGAAAACCGGCAAGCTGGCGAGGCCGGGCGCCCGGCAGCACCAGCAGATGGTGCGCCGGCGCGTCGGCCATGAGGAGCAGGTCGTTCGGCGAGTTCTTGTAGTGGCCTGGCAGACTCCAGGGTCGAGGATGTGGGTTTAGGGTTTAGGGTTTTAGGGTTCTAGGGTATTAGGGTTTTAGGGGTTTTAGGGGTTCTAGGGGTTTTAGGGTTTTAGGGTTTTAGAGTTTTAAGGATTTAGGGTTCTAGGGTGACTCTCTTGCGGGAGTCCCGCAGCACCGTCTCGATATGCCGAAGAGCGCTTCTTGATGGGCTTCTTACGAGCCACGAGATCCGAGGCCCCGGCTGGAGACGAACAGGGACATCATCTTGAAGAGGAACTTCTCAGATGCCTCCTGCGGCTGAACTTGGTTAGGGGTCCTACAAAAAATAGCGTTCATGGCTTTATAAGGATTATTCAGGGCATTGAGGGTAATAAAAACTAAAACATGTGTTCAAACTTACCGGAATTCTCCACATGCTTGCCACTATATGGTTACCATTATGAATATCTTACTTTTAGCTTACCTTGCTTGAGCACGGCACTTCTAAAACGGCATGAGGTCGAGGAGCTGCAGAAAGAAGGCTCTTTTAATTCAGATAAGTGCCGGACCATGGAGAGCATTTAGGGTCTAGGGCTTTGGGTAGTTTAGGGCTTGGTTGTTTGTGATTTGCATGAATGCGTGTGCAGTAGTATAGTATCTCAGATCCCTGGAAGCACATGACCGCGCAGTACCAGCACGTTGCAGACCATATGAAGTAGGGTGTATATTTCTTGTACCCCCAAAAGGACACCCAGCATATACACTCACCAATATTAAAAAGGAACCGTATATACACTCACCAAGAACAGTAACATAAACCCTGCTTCATATCGACCACAAATTTGAGCACCGCGCGTGGTACGAGAACAGAGCGTCGCGGTTCACCAAGAAGAGGCTGCATCTGAGTAGCTTGCTTACAGTGCTGGAAGCATTGTCAGCATAGCAAGGGGGTTCAAGGGAAGTACAACCAAACCTAGTATATAACACCTACAGCCCAGCTGAGGCCCTGAAATTTTCAAGCCCCCGATTGAAAACCAGAGGGCCCCTACATTTTAGGGCTTCAGGGCTTCGGGCGGTATAGGGTTTCGGAGGACCGTAGGGATGTGCGATGGAGGGAGCAGGGATCCCACATGTCGGGTCGCTAAGTGTCCCAAGGGTGTTAGACTATAGGGGAGCTAGAACCCTAAACCCTAAACCCTAAACCCTAAACCCTAAACCCTAAACCCTAAACCCTAAACCCTAAACCCTAAACCCTAAACCCTCAGCCGCTCTTTCCAAGTGGCCTTCAGCCAGCACGAATGCGATTCAAGACCTACCAAAATGCTGGCTTCCTGACATGAACTGCACGGGGCTCCGCGGGAACTCTGCCTGCGGTTTAGTTTAAGGTTTGGGTTTTGAGTAGAATCTTCATGACTCTAAACCCGAACCCAAAACTTTAAACCCTGAACCCTATAAAGCCCTATAAACCCTAAAACCCCTACAAACCCATCCCCCGCAAACCACCCACCCATCATCCATCTTCTGCCCTAAACCCTAAACCCTAAACCCTGAACCCAAAACCCTAAACCCCAAACCCAAAACCCTAAAACCTAAACCCTAAACCCCAAACCCCAAACCTCAAACCCCAAACCTCAAACCCATCCAGGAGCCCACGCTCTGCCGGCAAAGGCAGGGAGCTCATCCGGAGCTTGGGCACCTGAACCAAAGCATCTAGGGGGGTTTAGGGTTTGGGGTTTGGGGTTTAGGGTTCAGGGTTTAGGGGTGCATAGGGTTTAGGGCTACAGGGTTTAGGGGTATAGGGTTTAGGGTTTAGGGGTACAGGGTTTTAGGGTATTTAGGGTTTAGGGTGTAGATTTTAGGGTTTAGGGTTTTGTTTTTAACCCACCTGAACCAGAGGCTCTAGAGGTTTCGGGGTTTAGGGGTGCAGAGGGTTTAGGGGTTTAGGGGTGCATAGGGTTTAGGGTTTTAGGGTTTTAGGGTTTAGGGTTTAGGGTTTAGGGGTAAGGGTTTAGGGGTATAGGGTTTAGGGGTAAAGGGTTCAGGTGAATAATTAGGGTTTAAGGTTTAGGGGTATAGGGTAGAGAGGGTAGAGAACCAGATGTTCTAGGGGGTTGGGATTTGAGTGTTAGGGTTCCGGGTTTAGGGCTAGGGTAGAGAATTAGGGACCTGAACGGAAGCTTTGATTTATCAGACTGATTGGGACATCGGGTGAAAGCGTTGGGGGGGAGGTGTTGAGTGTGAGGTCTGGGGTAAGGGCGATTCTTCGGATTTTGTTTTGTGCGGTGTTGTGTTGGGAGGTGCTTTGCATTTTGTTGTGTTGAGTGTGCTTTGTGTTTTGCGGGCTTGAAAGGGCTATTTTAGTAGGCGGGTTGAGGATGCTTTGGTGGGAGATGGAAGGAGAGTAGGGGTGGAGGTCCGAAGACAGCATCTGCATGCTGTAAATCAGGGTTCCCTTTTGGGTTTTAGTATCAGGCGGCCCCTAATACTTCAGGTACCCAGAAAGGGACCACAATTTTAGAAGGGTTTATATTTCTTGTAGCCCCAAAAGGACACTGAATATATACACTCACCAAAAACAGTAATATAAACCCTGCTTCAATATGACCCGAATTGCAGGGTTCATTTGGTCCACAAAGACCCTCAGAGTCAGAAACTCCGCCTGCGCCGCATCCAAGCACAGCAGCTGTCCGAGCCAGGCCTGAAGAGAGAACAGTTCGAGGGTTTAGGGTTTAGGGTTTAGGGTTTAGGGTACTAAAACTACTGTATGGGCTGGGTACTTCGGGGTCTGAAAAAATGACAACGGGCTGTTTACACGCATGAACTTGCCAAAAGCCCTTCTTCTATTATTGCGGGTTCTCTTGTCCACACCTTTGATTCGCAGGCTAGTTTACAAAGCCTACTTTTCGTACAACCTATGAACCATGCACAAATTCCACGGCTGAGGGCTGCGAGGCTTCGTTTCTGCTCTCTCCCCCTAAACCCTAAACCCTAAACCCTAAACCCTAAACCCCAAACCCTAAACCCTAAACCCCAACTCAGGTGCCTCCACCGGATCGCCGGGTGCGTATCGAATCGGCTCCTGTGAGGAGCAGGCCGTAAAACCCCTAAAACCTAAATTTAGGGTGGTTACATGGTCCCTTCGTATGGGCCCTTAATGGGGGACCCCTGAAAAACCCCTTCTATGCCTTGTACAAATGAAGGGCCCATGCATAGAACCCTTTTAGGGTGGTAAGGGACCTTCATAAGGGCCCATGAAACTACCGTGAGATAAACCGTAAACCCCAAACCCTTACATGATGTTAAGGTTACCAAATTGTCAAACTCTACCTCTTAAGAAAGACATCAGTCTCATGTTCGGCCTAGCTCCTGGTATAAGACCCCCGAATCGACAGCTGCCGTATAGAAAAAGAACAGGTTTAGGGCGGGGGCATATAGGGTTCAGGGTTTAGAAGGCTGCCGGATGTGAACTGCATTTCCTGCATTTAGGGTTTTCTGGCTTAGAGCTTCAGGGATTTGGGGTTCAGGGTGCATGTCAACAGTGTAGATTGGTGGAGGTTCTGCAAGCGGATGGCCCGCTGCTCACAGCTCTAGAAGTATACCGTATGCATGTATGTCTCTATATATATGTATATATATATATGTATATGCTATAACTGGTTATATCACCTACAATAGATGACTTGGTGCCACAGGCCAGCCTCCAGCGAGAGTTCCCGCAAGGTCCGATCGCCGGTCGGCCCTGACGCAAGACTTCCGACAGCCAGCATCTGCAACACCCTAAACCCTAAACCCTAAACCCTAAACCCTAAACCCTAAACCCTAAACCCTAAACCCTAAACCCTAAACCCTAAAACCCTAAACCCTAAAACCCTAAACCCTAAACCTCCGAATATGATGTCCAAGCAGGGGGCCGGTCTAAGCCCTTGGTGGACACAGCAACTGCGCATTCACGAGCGGCCTTTCTTGGCATTTCCGATGCCCTTGCCGGTCTTCAGGTCCTCCCAGGAAGCGCTCGGGAGCAGGCGGCTGCATGTCGATGCTGAGACACGGATCTTCAGGCTACCCGAATCCCCCCTAAACCCTAAACCCTAAACCCTAAACCCTAAACCCTAAACCCTAAACCCCTAGACCTTAAACCCCCTAAACTCTAAACCCTAACCCAACCCGATGGATCCCGCCGGTCCTCAATCAACTTCAGGGAAAGAGCCCGGCCCGTTCCTGTGGCTTTTTAGGGAGCTCTCGAGCTCTTAGTTGTTTTAGTACCTAGGGGTTTTAAAGGTTAACCATTTGGGATTATAAGGGGAATACATGAACCCAAAAAGGTTAAAGGTTACCTACTCTACTACTGAGAGCTTGGGGGGGTTCCGGGAGGGAGGGTACAGAGGGCTAAAGCACGGACAGAAGGACATGTTGGAGGTTGATCTAAATGATCGGCCATTTTTGGAACCAGGGTTTCGGGCCTACTACAGTGGAGACCAAAACAGTTCCCGCACTTTCGATCAACCCAACAAAATATCTGCACCTTCGTAGCCATTCACCGTCGAAGCCAGTAGCACCAAGTATGGCCTGGCACAGGGCACGGCACGCTCGGCTTGCAAAGCTCTGCCACCTGCATACACTCGTAACCCTACAAACCCTAAGCCTAAACCCTAAACTCTAAAACCGTTTACTAAAACCTCCCTCAACGCAACCCAAACCAAAGAAAGCGCCATCCACCAAGCACTGCCTCTCGTGAGCTCTGAGATCCAGACCCAAGCAGCTTCTTGACGATGGGCAACCTAAAGGGTTTAGGAGTTCAGGGTTTCCTGTTTGGGGTTTTAGGGTTTGGGCTTCTGCGGTTTGGGCTTTTTGGCTTTCAGGGTTTAGGGGCGTAGGTTTTCGGGTTTACTGTTTTGGGGGGGTTTTCAGGGTTTAGGGGGGTAGGATGGATGCTCTTAGCAGAGCAAAAGGGATGGCTCAGCTTGGCTTCGGGTTCCATAGGGTTCAAGTTCCGGGCATAGGGCATGCGGCGTTTTCTTTGCGAGCTTGGGGCTCAAGACTTGAGGAGTTTGATCATCTCTAGGGTTTAGGGTTTGAATGAGTCGACAAACAGTCTTTACATGACGGAAACGAGAGACAGGTTCGTTGGATGAGCCGCAACGTCTTCGGATCGTGTTGGGGTTTCCTTTGACAGACACCCCCACATACTTTCAGCACCAGCTTGGACACGGAGGCCTTAAGAGCTTCAATGGCTAGCATTCTATGGAACCACCAGATCTTTATCTAAGAGCCCTTAAAGCTTCATGTAGGTCGGTGGGGTCTAAGTATAATTGACACCGAAATCCCAACTTCCCGAGAATGACCCAGAAACTACTAGACCCAAGAGCAACCTACACAAGAAAGGGTGCGCTTTTTTGGTTTCAAAGGGCTTGTAAGGGAACCCTAAACCCCAAACCCCAAACACCACCCCCCCCCCCCCCCCCCCCCCAAAAAAAAAAAAAAAAGAAAAAAAAACCTAGACCCCTAATCCCCAAACCCTAAACCCAAAACCCCAAGGTAAGCTGATGAGAGTCGCCCTTCCTCTCTCCGTCAAGCAGCGGAATCGCCGCGGCTTCATCCACCACCAGCAGCTCGGCCTTGAAACGACGGGAGAATCTTGCTCCCAGGCTTTTAAGGAGCCTTAAGGGCGTTTACCGGTTTAGGGTTTGGGGTTTTGGGGCTTGGGGTTGGGTTTAGGGTTTACGGGTTTGGGGTTTGGGGCTTGGGGTTTGGGGGTTTGGGGGTTTGGGTTTAGGGTTTAGGGCTTAGGGCATAGGGTTTAGGGTTTAGGGTTCAGGGTTTAGGGTTTAGGGTTTGCGGTAAGAAGCAGATATACAGTCACTTAACAGAAAGATTAGGGCTTTGGGGCTCGGGGCTTGGGCTTTGCCTTCAAAAGGCGTACAGCTACACAACACCTATCTTATCTAAGCATCTAAGTTCCTGGACAGCAACCCAGACCCCCCCCCCCCCCCCACGGAAGTCCGGAACTGCTTAGCAGCTGCCTGCGCCAGGTGCTGCCAGTCCGAGGGACTGATGTACTGCACCGTCTGGCGGTGATCCTGCTTCTCTACACCCCGCTACCCCGCTTCCCCCGCTTGCCGGCCTTGAAATTTCAAGGCCATGGACCCAACACGCCAAGACTCTCTACCTCATCCTACCGACTCTGCCAGCTATCATCCCTAAAACTCACCACCCTCCATCCCTGAGACTCACCGCCCTCTGAACTGGGATAGCAGCTCAAAGATACGCCCCGATTCAATGGCCTGCTCAGTCATGTCGTTGCCCGCTAACCATACGACAGGGCCTACAAAACCATGGAAAAAACAAACCCTTAAAACCCTAAACCCTAAATAACCCTAAACCCTAAGCCCTAAACCCTGCAACATTAACCATAAACCTATAGATCCCTTGAAGGAGCGTCCGGTCAGTGCACGGCCGGTATCGAACGACAAACGCAGTCCTTGAACACGTTCACCCGCACCAGGGCCTGCACGTTAGGGCTTCGTAGGGATCCGAAGTCTGGGCCCTTAATTTGGATCTCCTGCTATACAATCCTTATATACACTATACATAATAGAGGCCCATACTTCGGATCGCTTTAAATCACTTTAAACAAGGGTAAGGGACCTTACTTAGTAAGGGCGGGTTTAACCCTAAACCCGGAACCCCAAACCCTACACCCCAAACAGCCAATCCTGAACCCTAAGGGGGCGAGGCCGCCTTGTTGAGCTCCGGGTTCTCCGCCTGAACAAGCTCATACTGCTGATGCTCCTGTGGCAGGGACACCTATGACTTTCCAACCCATTCACACGGTCACTGCTCAAAGTTATGGTCCCTTTTGAAGGGGCTACTCTACGCTTAGAAGGCGGACCCTACTAGTTCGGGTACTTTTGAGAGCTGACCACATGTAGAAACAGTCTCCCACTCAGGTAAGCACCAACAAAATTTACTTAGATCATCTCCACCTTTACAGCCAGCCCTTGAAAAAGGGATTCGGATTTACGGTTTATGGTTCATATACCCCAACAGGGTCCAACAGGGTTGATTATAGTCCGGGGCATATGACTCAAATTTGTTTAGCAGTACCGGACAAAATTCCGAGAAACTGTTTTTTCTCGTCTTCGTCCGCCTCGAATCCAACGGAGAGGTCCGAGGGCCCACGGGAGAAGCACAAAATTTTCTCCCCCCACCCACCAACTTCGTGAACCAAATGAGCCCTAGAACTGGGGTCATTCATATACCCTTTACTACTAGAATCCCTATTCGGGTGTATGAATCCTAAACCCTAAACCCTTGCAGGTAGCCCAAAAACCCTATTACAACAAGAGCACCCTTTTTTGGGTTGGTTACTTTATGAGGGAACCCAGAACCCAAAACAAGAGCAAAGGGTACCACTGGACTAAGATATTACGGAAACCCTAAACCCTAAACCCTAAACCCTAAACCCTAAACCCTAAACCCCATGCTACGAAGGACTTGCATTTCCTTCATGCCCAAGGCGTCGAAGCCCTTGAGGATGAACTCGAAGAGAGTGCCTTAGTAGCCCAGCACCCTAATATGGGCATTTCTTCCAATGGGGTTTAGGGTTTAGGGTCTAGGGCTTCGGGCTACCCTTAATATGCCCCAAAACAGTGTAATCCTTCTTGTTAGGAACCCCCAAAAGGGTAGGGTTTAGGATCTTAGGGTTTAGGATACCTTTTTGTTTGTTTGGGGGGGTGGGGGGGGTGGCTGCTGTGAAAGGGAACCCAGAACCTGGCAGCGAAAAGGGCAAAAGCGTACCACTGGCCGACCAAGGTGCTCAGGTTCTCCGGAGACGGCGCCTTCGGGGCGTGTCTATTGAGGGCCCGTGGTGGCAAAGGGTTGGCATTCGAGGGTTTACCCTAAACCCTATAAACCCTACAAACCCTACAAACCCTGTAAACCCTATAAACCCTATAAACCCTGTAAACCCTGTAAACCCTATAAACCCTATAGACCCTATAAACCCTGTAAACCCTATAAACCCTATAAACCCTATAAACCCTATAAACCCTAAACCCTAAACCGTAAAAAAACATAGCAGTCTAGGCTAGAGTGCTGCGCTCTGAGGGTTTTTGAACCAGAAAAATATGTGGTCACTTCTCTGAAATATGGTCCTGATTCGAAGGCGGCCCCTCTTATTTAGGGTTCCCCCCTAATTCAGAGAAGTGACCAGATGGATGTATGGGAGTTCATTTAGGGTTCAGGGCCGGGCCGTGACGAAGATGTTGGAGTAGCCGTAGGCAACGGCAGCGGCGATGCCCAAGCCCATGGCCGCCGACCTGGCGAGGGCTTTGTTTGGGGCACGGATGAGAGCGCGTGCAGAACGGCCGCCCATTTGAAACCAGTCGCTCAGTCACTCAGCTCAGTCACTCAAACTCTTACCTTGCCAGGCCAGGCCCAGTCTCTTAGTCACTGAGCCTCTCAGGCTCTGACGTTGAGAGAACAGACCCAGTCACTCAGTGACTTACGTCACTAAGACCCTCGTGAATTTCTGAGTGCCTGTGAGTCTGAGTGTCTGAACGTCTGAGCATCTGAGTGTCTGAGCGTATGAGTTTCTGAGCATCTGAGTGTCTGAGGGTCTGAGCGTCTGGCGCCAAAAAAAAAACCGCAAACGCGCCCCAATCACATTTTGGGAGGGTTTTCGGCCGGCTCCTTTTCCTAAACCCTAAACCCTCAACCCCAAACCCTAAACCCTAAACCCGAAACTCTAAACCCTAAACCCCACAATAGCTAGGGTCATTCGGGAGTCAGACAGTTCCGGGAGGGCGCCAAAGCGCGCAGCTGCATCGCGCGCACGGCCCTGACAAAAAAAAAAAAAAAAAAACCCACAAACCTTACAAACCCTATAAACCCCATAAACCCTAAACCCTTAGCCCGAAACCCTAACCCTTCTTCCTTTTCAAGCCTAACGCAAGGCTCCTAGGGCTACCAGACTTCTCGATGCTGGCCCGGACACTTGCCACGGCCACGTGCCGCGGTCAGCGCCATCCTGGCAGGGTCAGAAGAGTGGAGGATCTGATTATTACCATTGTCATTAATATTGGTAATAATATTATTATTCTGTTCATCATCATTTTTTAGTAGTAGTAGTAGTAGTATTAAGTTGTAATATTGTTATTGTTCTTGTTCTTGTTATTGTTATTGTTAGCATACTATATATATATATATATACACTGTTTTTGCTGACACCTCAAGGGTATAGCATCATACTGCCAGGGCCAGCTGTCACCGACGGCACTTTTTTTAACCGTTTGAGCGTGTACAGTACTGGTGAGGCGCAAGGGAGACTTCTAAGACGATGCCAGCCATTTGGATCTGGACCGCCACAGGAAAAAGAAAACGATGCTGGAGGCTTCGTCAGCCGCCTGACTGATCTGCATGCGGGTTTGCAGCTCACATCCTCGGGACCTGCGCCAAGGGGCTGAAACCGGGCGTGATGTAGACATCTGTACTGTATGTTTACAGTCTACACTATGGTTAGTACAAGCTGGCAGAAACCTGAAGGAAGTCCATTAAAAAGAAAAACCGGGCAGGTCTGCCTGGGTGGACACACGGGCCTCGAAACTTAAGCAAAGTTGTTCCAAGCCCTCCGAAAATTTTGCCCCGGCACCTGGTAGCTGCCCTGGTAGGACACGGGCCTTAGTTGTTTTAGTACCTAGGGGTTTTAAAAGGTTAACCTTTGGGCTAAAAAAAGGGGAATATATGAACCCAAAAAGGTTATAAAGGTTACCTACTCTACTACTAAGGGGCTGGTAGGCCGCGGCCGCGGGCTGGTAGGTGGCGGGCTGATAGGTCTGGTAGGCCTGGGTCTGTTGCGGCACCTGCTGATAGTACTGCGGCACGGCCTGCTGCAGCTGCTGGTTGGCGTAGGCCATCACGTTCTGGACCTGGGGAGGTGGGGAGCACTCAAGTAACCGAACCCTAACACTGGGATCATCAAAGCCCTATAGAATCTCGATTGTGTGGACCAGAAACCCTGCTTAGGGTTTTTTGGGTTCATGTCGATAACCTAGTCCCCAAGCGACCTGGTTCTGGAACTGCTGCGGCAAGGCCTGCGGTGCGGTGACCTGCGGGACCTCCGGCGCCTCCTCGATCATGGGGGCTGCGTCCACACTGACGGCACGCTTGGACTTCTTCTTCTTTTTCTTCTCATCTCCGGACATGAAGTAGTATGCGCCGCCTGCCAAGGCAAGGGCACCGGCGATGCCCCCAATCACGCCGTAGGTCATGGTGTTGTCGCCACCGCCGCCGCCGGAGGTTCCTGGAGCGGAGCCGAGGATCTCGTTGGCCTTCTCGCCCAACTGGTCGGCGGCCTCCTTGGCCTGCACTCCTGCGGACTCCATGGCATCGTTTGCCGTCTGCATCGCATCGTTGGCCGTCTGTGTCAGGCCGTTGCCGGCCTGGTCCAGCGAGGCGCCCAGCGAGGCGCCCAGGGCCGCTGGCGCCGCTCCCAGGGTTTCGGATGCCTCGTTGACCTGCTTGCTCAGGTCGCTGGTGACCTGATTGGCCTTCTGGGTCAGGGTGTCCCCAACCTGATCAGCCTGTTGGGTCAGATCCTGTTTGAGCTGGTCGGCCTGGCTGCTGAACTCCTTTGCCTTCTGGCTCAGGGCACCGTTGACCTCATTGGTCTGCTTGGCCACATCGCTCAGAATCTGATTTGCCCCCGTGTCCACTTTTTGCTGCAACTGGCCGACTTGGCCTTGCAACTCCTTTGCCTTCTGGCTCAGATCACTGCTCAGGCCAGCGCTGGCTTGATTGAGCTGCTGTTGCAAGTCGGTGGCGCCGCTGTTGAACTCCTTTGTCTTCTGGGCCAGGTCACTGTTGACCTGATTGGCCTTCTGGGCCAGCTCGTTGGCGGCCTGATTTGCCTGCTGGGTGAGATCCTGGCCGACTTGGTTGACCTGGCCCTGGATCTCATTGGCCTTCTGGCTCAGGTCACTGTTGGCTTGATTGAGCTTCTGGGTCAGAGCATCCCCAACCTGATTGGCCTGATTGGTCAGATCCTGCCCGAGCTTGTCCAGGGAGCTGCTGACCTGGCTGGCCTGCTGATTGACCTGGCCGTTGAGCTCGTCGGCCTTCTGGCTCAGGTCGCTGCTGGCCTGATTGGCCTTCTGGGTCAGAGCGTCCCCAACCTGATCGACCTTCTGGGCCAGATCCTGCCCGAGCTGGTTGGCCTGGCTGTTAAGCTCCTTTGCCTTCTGGCTCAGGTCACTGTTGACCTGATTGGTCTGCTGGGCCATATCGTCAGCAAGCTTATTTACCTGCTGGCCCACATCCTGCTGCAACTGGTTGACCTGGCCCTGGAACTCCTTGGCCTTCTGGCTCAGATCACTGCTCAGGCCAGCGCTGGCTTGATTGGCCTGCTGGGTCAAATCCTTTCCAAACTGGTCGAGCTTCTGCTGCAACTCGGTTGCGCCGCTGCTCAACTCCTGTGTCTTCTGGGTCAGGTCACTGTGGGCCTGATTGGCCATCTGGGTCAGATCGTTGGCGGCCTGATTTGCCTGCTGGGTGAGATCCTGTCCGGCTTGGCTGACCTGGTTGTGGAACTCATTTGCCTTCTGGTTCAGGTCACTGCTGGCTTGATTCATCTTCTGGGTCAAATCCTTTCCAAACTTGTCCATGTCCTGGCCGGCCTGGTTCAGCTTGTCGGTGATGTGGTCGGTGAGCTGGCTCCCGGCCTCGTTTGCCTTCACGAAAAGATCCTTGCCAAACTTCTCCAGCCCGGCGCTGGCACTGCCCACAGCATCGGTGATCGACGCCGCGTTCACCGGCACCTCACCTGCACAGGCCTTTGGGCCGCTGTACGACTTCTCATCGACCTTCTCCTGCACATCCTCTCCCATGAGGTTGCAGGCACCGCCGGGGAAAGAGTCCTCCTTCCACGAGAAATGCTTGCAGGTTGGGTTGATGTAACAAGCCATCTGACACATCTTCGGGGTGTAGAGCCATGCCGAATTGGGCGTGCCCTTGACATCGCTCACGTAGGTGACGCCCTTCTTGGCGCAAGTCGGCACCGCGTCACTGTTGGGTTCGGCTGCACCGCCATGGAGGGCGAGGAGGACGCAAACGCCGCGAATCATTGCTGATGCTAGCGAACTGAACTCGGCTAGACACCTCACACTGGTCTGAGCTGAACACGGCGGAAGGCAGTCCAGCAATCAAGTCATCGCTAAAGCCCTTTTGATCCCTAAGCTATCCTAAGCTCCTAAACCACCCTAAACCCTAAACCCTAAACCCTAAACCCTAAACCCTAAACCCAAAAACCCAAAAACCCAAAAACCCTAAACCCTAAACCGAGGGGACCCGACATCGCTTCTTGGACCATGTGCATTCTGAGAGCATCTGAGAAGGCCACGTTCGATTCAGGCTCTTCTCCGAGATAGCGTCCACGAAGCTCATGACCGCCTTGGCCTGCATGGGTTCGCTTGCTGCCCCTCTCTCTCTCTCTCTCTCTCTCTCTCTCTCTCTCTCTCTCTCTGTGTCTAGGGTCTAGGGGTCTAGGGGTCTAGGGGTCTAGGGGTCTAGGGGTCTAGGGGTCTAGGGGTCTAGGGGTCTAGGGGTCTAGGGGTCTAGGGGTCTAGGGGTCTAGGGTCTAGGGTCTAGGGTCTAGGGTTTAGGGTTTAGGGTTTAGGGGCCAGGGCAGATCTGCGTCGTAGATGTGTAAATAGGTGGTAACAAAAATGGCGAGTTGCTTCTGAGCTTCTTGGGGTCAGAAGGCGAAGAGCACTGGATTTGGCTCTCTTACTACTTTTATTGGAGCTGCTCAAAACCCGTGAAAACCTAAGCTCAAAACCCTAAGAACCTAAACCCTAGCAGGTTAGGGTTTAGGGTTTAAACCCTAAAAGCGAAACCCATTGACGACTTAGGGTTTAGGGCTTAAGAGCTTACCTCAGGGCAAAGCCCTACGTCGAAGCCCTGACCTGGGGACCAGATGATGGCTCAGACTGGGGCCATATACCCTATACTACTAAGAATCCCTATTCGGGTTTAGGGTTTAGGGTTTAGGGCTTCGGGCTTCGGGCTTCGGGCTTAGGGGTATACGTTCCAGGTTCATTTGGCAGGGGCGTGGGCATTTCCTTCGATTGGGCGCGCACATTACGAGAAAAAAGCGCGGCATGAATAGGGTTCATTCTACTGGGCCTTAAGTGGGTTACAAGTCCTACTGGTTATGTTAAAAACTCATTCACTAAACTTAGAATAGTAAGGTGGCCCCTACTTGTAAACCCTAGATTGGGATGTTCCCCCCCCCCTATGCTAACAGTCCTTCATAGGGACTATAGTACCCCTGTCATAATCCCTATGAAGGACTGCTAGTGTAAGGGGAACATCCCAAGCCCAAGACCCTAAACCCTAGACTTTCAAACCCTAAACCCTAAACCCTCAACCCTAAAACCCTTTGAATATGGGCTCTTGTATGAGGTCCAGTGCGCCTGATCCAGGGTCCTCGAGGCGGCGACAATGGGTCCAAGTGGCATTGCGTCAGCCTTGGCATGCAAAGCCCGGACTGCGCATGGTTGAAGGTGTTGACTTTTAGGGTTTAGGGTCTAGGTTTTAGGGTTTAGGGTGCCCCCCCCCCCCCCCCTCCCGTACAAAGCCTTCCCTTTTCCGAAGTGTAGGCGTCCTGCGTGATTGCAAAGCTAGCTGTATCAAAAAGAGACTCCATTGGTCAGCAGAAGTGGTAAAATGACACGCCTAGGTGTGTGCCACACCCCTTTCCATCCAATCCTTCGACCCTCAGAGTCGCAAAAGAGACGGGAGGAACTCGGGGGTGGTAGGGGGGCTATTACACCCTATAATCCATTAAAAGGCCCTTAATAGGGTTCATTTTGGGGACTTTAAGGCCTAATAGCCCATCCTGGGGTGGTAGGGGGGCGGGGAACGGGAAGGCCTTGAGGTGGCTTTCAGATGACAAGGCGAGCCTCATCAAGTAGAGAAGATTTCGATGCCTTCAGCCCCGAAGCCCATGCGACGCGCACTCGGCGTACTCGCATGACTCGCCGCTACTTAAAGGCCGTTTCGGGTTTAGGGCCCTTTGGGGTTCAGGGGTTCTTGAGGGACGTCAGAAGCACACCACACTCGCTGTTTCAGGATCAGGGGCTTGTACTTGTTGCCGTCCTGCTTCTCCTGACTGCCCTCTTTTGAACTGCTGTGCATACATAGATTCATACATGTAGGGGCCCCCCTTACCATACTAACTTTAGTTAAGGGAATTATAACCTAACTACAAAGACTTATAACTTATGACCCAATTTAGGGCCCTTATAACCCTGTTTATAACTAGGGGGCCCCTACATGTAGATCTTGGCAACCCCGTGGTCTTTGGCCAACCCAAACCCTAAACCCTAAACCCTAAATCCTAAAACCCTCAACCCTAAAACCCTAAACCCTAAACCCTAAACCCTAAACCCTAAACCCTAAACCCTAAACCTCTCTACCATATAACCCTAAATGTTAAACACCAATTGGAGAATTTGATCCATTTCGTTTTTTTTCACCCCCCCGTTGTTCAGCACCAATTGGAGAATTTGATCCATTTTGGCCCCTCCGACCCCTTTGACCCCCCATTGTTCAGCACCAATTGGAGAATTTGATCCATTTTGGCTTCTCCGACCCCTCTGACCCCCCATTGTTCGGCACCAATTGGAGAATTTGATCCATTTTGGCTTCTCCGACCCCTCTGACCCTCCATTGTTCAGCACCAATTGGAGAATTTGATCCATTTTGACCCCTCCGACCCCTGTCAGGGAGGCTTCGTGGGGGGTACCCCAGGATTCTGCAAAAATGGCCCGATTCCCAGTTAGTTTTAAATAGAATTTATATAGCGGAAATGACCCCCTCATTTTCTAGATTTCTCTGGCCCTCTCAATGCTGGCCCTCTGACCCCTTTAACCCCCCATTGTTCAGCATCAATTGGAGAATTTGATCCATTTCGACCCCTCAGACCCCTTGACCCCCCATTGTTCAGCACCAATTGGAGAATTTGATCCATTTCGACCCCTCCGACCCCTTTGACCCCCCATTGTTCGGCACCAATTGGAGAATTTGATCCATTTCGGCCGCTCCGACCCCCTTGGCACCCCCATTGTTCAGCACCAATTGGAGAATTTGATCCATTTTGGCTTTTTCGACCCCTCTGACCCCCCATTGTTCAGCACCAATTGGAGAATTTGATCCATTTTGACCCCTCCGACCCTCTTAGGGAGGCTTCGTGGAGGGTACCCCAGGATTCGGTAAAAATGGCTCGATTCCCAGTTAGTTTTACCCCTGAAATGCTGACCTCTCTAACCCTCCATGGTTCAGCACGAATAAGAAATTAATAAGCTTTTATTTTCGTAATGTTATGGGATTCTTTGGGCGGGTGGGTTTTGTTCCGTTGCCTACACACACTGCTGGCCTAGTGAACGCTCGAACTTGAGATGCTGAACCCTAAACCCTAAACCCTAAACCCTAAACCCTAAACCCTAAACCCTAAACCCTAAACCCTAAACCGCTGCCGAAGGGCTGTGGTCGCCTTCAACTCCTCCAGCTCCTTCTCGTTGGCCGTCTTCGGCCTGCTCACGAAGAGCGGGGCTGGCTTCCTACATGTGTAGAAGGGTTTTTTCGGGATGCCTGTACCCTAAACCCTAAACCCTAAACCCTAAATCCTAAACCCTAAACCCTAAACCCTAAACCCTAAACCCTAAACCCTAAACCCTAAACCGGTTGAGGGCTTCGGGCTGAACAGGGCCACGACACGGCCACGGCACGAGCTCTCGTGCCTCTCGTCATCGCCTTCTTCCTCCTCCTCCTCCTGGCCAGGCAAGCCCGAGATGCCAGGGTTTAGGGTTTAGGGTTTAGGGTTTAAGGTTTAGGGACTTTAATACACCACGTTTCAACCTGAGCCCGCAAACCCTACACTCTAGACCATGAACCGATTTTACCCCCCCCAAGTCCTGCATCCCCAGGATCCACCGTGTTCGTTCTGAAAGTTTTGTTTTGTGGGGGGGGGGGGACGGGGACGAAGAGCTGCCACTAGATATGAATAGCAACAAGAGAAGTCGCATTTCCCCAAAATTGAATGAAAGTTAAGAAGGAAACGAGGTTCCCCAAAAAGAAAACATTCGATCATGAACGAGCAATTTGGGAAGGGAGGCTGAAAGCAGGCCGGAGGTAGTCTAGACCAAGAGTCAGGGTGTTTTTCTTATACTAGCAGTCCTTAATAGGGATTATAGTAGGGGGTACTATAGTTCCTAGAAAGTACTGTTAGTGTTAGGGGGGGAACATCCCAACCCAAGAGTAGCGCACGAAGGAAACAAGGCTTTTGGGTTCAGGGTCCAAAAGCAACCTAGGAATAAAACGGGCGCCCTTTTTGGTTTGCAGGGGCTTATCAGGGACACCTAAACCTCAAAAAAGGGGAATCCGGGCCTACTTCGAGGTCCTAGTAACTCTAAACCCTAAACCTTAAACAAGGGGGAAACAGGCCTACTCTGGGTCTTAGTAGTCTAGGGTGCTCCGCCCAGGCCTTGAGCGACTTGACTGCCTTGGATGCTCTGGGAAGTCTTAAAGGGGTTTCGGGTCGACGGGGTCCAGGGTCTAGGGTTTAGGGTTCAGGCTTTCGGGCTTTAGGGCGTAGATAGGGCTTAAGGGTTCAGGAAGATCAGGGTTTCTGGGGTTTGGGGCGTGAACGGCAGAGCATCCCGAGAAATCCCGAGCCCTGCCCCGTCGCCCTATGTCGCTTCGGGCTTGAAAGGCTTTAAGTTTAGGGCTTGTTTCACAGACCCCGCCCCCGTGCCCCCAACGCGCGCACACACGCGGGGGACCTCGTGCCTTGTAAGTCTGATTCTACTGCAGCACGTTACCACTACTCAGGGCCTATGTTGGGGGGGGGGGAGCTCTTTTGCGCTTGGGGGTGGAGGAGATTAAGCGCCTGAAGCCCCTCAACGCCACACCCTCAGGGGCCGTGTACCTATGTAGCATACACTCGAACCTTTAAGCCACGATATCGGAACCCCTTTAGCCCTAAACCCTAAACCCTAAACCCTAAACCCTCAACCCTACTGTATACTATATGGGCACAGCGGCCCTTTGGGACAGAGGCTTGGGGCGCCGGCTTTGGCGTGTCGGGAGAGCGGGAGGATGTTCAGCTCGTCATCCACAACCAGACACCTGTTTCTACAAGTAGGGTTCATTTGGTCCAGAAGCTCTCTGGGTCGTTGTGTTCGCCTTCCCCATTGGGCCTTGGGAAAATACGCAACATGGAGCCCGAAACAACTTGCAAGCGCACTCCCACCTTAAACCCTAAACCCTAAACCCCGAACCCTAAACCCTAAACACTATAAACCCTAAACCCTAAGAGCGAGTTTCACAGCATCGCCGGGATCGGCGCGAAGAGCAGTCTTTGAGCGACAAAACCAGGCCTGAGAGAGCTGCGGTGGGTAGAACGTGTGAAGCCCTGGCTACGTTCGGGTTTAGGGTTTAGGGTTTAGGGTCTCGGGTCTAGGGTTTAGGGTTTAGGGATAGACCCTGTCAAAAAAGGTGCCTGTTTAAGAGAGCTGGGAGGGGGCTGAGAAGGGTTCCCTTTTCAGGGTCCCCCTTATATTATCCTACCTAGGATACGGCAATTGAACAAACCAGGAGAACACACAACAACAAAACATTTCCCGGGCGGTGGGGAAATACCAGGATGGGCCATTATACCCTATAACTCCTAAAAAAACTGCCCTTTATAGGGTATATCGGGATTACAGGGCCCAGTAGCCCATCCTGGAAGGGTGTGTAAACCCTAAACCCTATAGACCCTACACCCTAGACCCTAAACCCACCCCCCCCCCCTTAACCTTTGTCTAAGAGCCGAGGGGCGTTCGTTAAACCTCGGCTCGGTGTCGATGTGAGTCTCGGTGCGCAGGTTGTGGTGCCTGCCGCGCTGCGATTTAGGGTTTAGGGTTTAGGGTTTCCGGGTGCTAGGGTTTAGGGCTTAAGGGTTTAAGGGTTTAAGGGTTTGAGGGTTTGAGGGTTTAAGGGTTTAAGGGTTTAAGGGTTTCGGGTTGCCTGGGCCTTGTGAGGGCAAGGCTGCGATTGGGGGGCTTAGGAATCTTAGGGTCTTTGGGGTTTTTTGGGGGGCTGTTTGACGTTCGATTTTCGGGCTTATAAGTCTCCAAGAGCCCTAAGACCTTATGAACCCACCCACATATGTGCGGGGTTCCCTTATTGGGGTCCTTGTTTTAAGGGATCCTACTATTATTTTCGAAACCCCACCATAAATGACTCCTTCGGCATCCTCCGTGCCCCCAAAAACACGGCTGGGGCGACGCGTCCATGGCGAGATTGTAGAGCTGCTTCAGTGAGTCCATGGTGCGGAGCCTGGCTCATGGTTCATGAATAAGTAAAGGATATTTTGATTGATGCTTATTGCAAATATAAAGTACACCTATAGGCCCCCCCCCCCCCCTGCTAGAGTAACTGTAGTTAAGGGAATCATAGCCTGAGTAGTAAGGCTTAGAACCCAAATAAGGGCTCTTACCCCGTTTTTAACTAGGGGCCCCTACATGCAGGGCAATCTTCATGGCCCTTATACGTTTTAGAGGTGAGGGTCATCAGGGTTGCGTACACACTTCGGGCGATGGGGCAAGAGGGTTTAGGGTCACGAGTCATAGGGGGGTAGGGTTTGCGGTTCGAGAATAACCCTAAACCCTAAACCCTAAGCCCTGCTTCATGTGGATGTACGTTTCGCTCAGGAGCGCCTCTTCGCTATTGGAGCCGCGCCAAGCAAACCTTGAAGGTGACAGTGACCAAGCGTCAGGGAAAAGCCCCTTCGACTCAGCGCCGAAAGGACGCTGGAAGGACGCTGGACAAGTACACTAGTCATCCTTCTACAGCTTGGCCGACTTCTGAAATCCGTTTTAACTTTTAAGATCATTATTGTCGTGTCTACAAAAACCCATTCTCAATCCGTATTGTAGTTTCTACAAAATCTTATTTAGGATCCTTTATTGTAGTTTCTACAAAAACCCAAAAAGGTTAAAAAGTCTTTAAGAGCCAGCCAGAAGACAGCCAAGACAGGGTGCGCTGCAGGTAACTGATACCTGAGCGGCACATCCAGAAAGCGTTTGCCTTGGAGCAAGCCGCTTGCAGTCGAAAACTCGGGTCCAAACTCACAGTAATGTATCCCGCTCACTTAAAGCGGCAGATTGGCATTCCGCGACATGGGCCCAGCCTGGCAGAGAAGCGGAAATCCGGCTGGGGGGGGCCTCTTGTGTTTGCCCGGGAGCCCCACATCCAAAAAGCAAGCTTCAACATCAACATCTATGTAAAAGAAGGCCCTGCCCCACCAGACCCTAAAAACTTAGACGGGCCATTAGACGGGGATGAACTGAACGTTAACCCTTAAATGGGGAAGGGTCATGTACCGTATACTAAGTTCCTTTGGTCCACTTACCAGGATGGGCTATTGGGCTATCTCATCCCCCTAAAGGGCCTTTTTGGGGGATTGGTATAATACCCCTAAACCCTAAACCCTAAACCCTAAACCCTAAACCCTAAACCCTAAACCCTCAAGGCCAGGATAAATAGAAATTGTAAGTGTTTCATTACGAGCAGCTCGTGTAATAATCCTTCATCCTTCACAGTGCCGAAAATTTTACCCAAAACCCAACTTTCAGGCCACAAACAAAAAACCTGAACAGCCCGAACCCCCCACAACCCTTCCAAACCCCAGCAGGCCCCCGCCCCCAGCCCGCACCCCCCAAGCCAAGCCAGCCCCAAGCAGAAGCCCCAAGCAGAAGCCCCCCCCAGCAGAAGCCCCCAGCAGAGAAGCAGAGAAGCCCCCAGCAGAGAAGCCCCCAGCAGAGAAGCCCCCAGCAGAGAAGCCCCCAGCAGAGAAGCCCCCAGCAGAGAAGCCCCCAGCAGAAGCCCCCAGCAGAAGCACCCAGCAGAAGCCGTCAGCAGAAGCCCCCAGCACAAGCCCCCAGCAGAAGCCCCCAGCAGAAGCCCCCAGCAGAAGCCCTCAGCAGAAGCCCCCACAGAAGCCTTGAGAAGCCTTCAGCAGAAGCCTGCAGCACAGCAGAAGCCCCCAGCAGAAGCCCCCAGCAGAAGCCCCCAACAGAAGCCAGCAGAAGCCCCCAGCAGAAGCCCGCAGCAGAAGCCCCCAGCAGAAGCCTGCAGCAGAAGCCCCCAACAGAAGCCCCCAGCAGAAGCTTCCAGCAGCCCCCAGAAGAAGCCCCCAGAAGAAGGTCCCAGAAGAAGTTTTCAGAAGAAGCCCCCAAAAGAAGCCCCCAGAAGAAGCCCCCCAAAGAAGCCCCCAGAAGAAGCCCCCAGAAGAAGCCCCCAGAAGAAGCCCCCAGAAGCAGTTCCCAGAAGAAGCCCCCAGAAGAAGCCCCCAGAAGCAGTCCCCAGAAGCAGCCCCCAGAAGCAGCCCCCAGAAGCAGCCCCCAGAAGCAGCCCCCAGAAGCAAGTCGCAGAAGCAGCCCCCAGAAGAAGCCGTCAGAAGAAGCCGCCACAAGAAGGTCCTAGAAAGAAGGCGCAAAGAAGCCCCCAGAAGAAGCCTCTAGAAGAAGCCGCCAGAAGCGGCCACCAGAAGCCGCCCCAGAAGCAGCCCCCAGAAGCAGCCCCCAAACAAGCCCCCCCCCAAGCCCCCCCCAAGCCCCCCCCCAAGCCCCCCCCAAGCCCCCCCAAGCCCCCCCCCCCCCAAGCCCCCCCTTCAGAGCCCCCCCGCAAGCCTTTCCCCCCAATCCCCCCCAAGCCCCCCACCCCCCAAGCCCCCCCAAGCCCCCCCCAAGCCCCCCCAAGCCCCCCCAAGCAAGCCCCCAAAGCCCCCAAGCCCCAAGCCCCCAAGCCCCAATTTTGTTCAAAAGCAAAAGAAAAAACCGGTCAAAACCCCGTCAAAACTCGGTCAAAACCCCGTCAAACCCCGGACTTTTGTTCAAAAGCAAAAGCAAAAAACCGGTCAAAACCCCGTCAAAACTCGGTCAAAACCCCGTCAAAACCCCGGACTTTTGTTCAAAAGCAAAAGAAAAAACCGGTCAAAACCCCGTCAAAACTCTGTCAAAACTCGGTCAAAACCCCGGACACAAACCCTATACAATTTCTATAAACCCTAAACCCTAAACCCTAAACCCTAAACCCTAAACCCTAAACCCTAAACCCTAAACCCTAAACCCTAAACCCTAAACCTAAACCCTAAACCCCTAAAACCCTAAACCTAACCCCCTAAACCAAACCCGAAACCTAACCTAAACCCTACCTCCAAGACCAGATAAATAGAAATTGTATGTGTTTCATTACGAATAGCTCGATTCCTGCAGGCAAAGAGGTCTAAGTAAATTGAACATATTGGCACAGTTGACCCCTGCAAACCCTTATCCTGGCTCACTAGTTACCTCAACTAGGGAGGAGAAGGCCAAGCTCCTTGATTACATTCACACAAGCCCCGATCCCTGACCCAAATTCAGGAGGCTAACGCAAGGCTCGTATTCACACAGGCTTTGATCACATCCCGACCTGGAATGCAAGGCTCCCGACCCAGTTGTGGGGGGGGGGGGAACGCAAAGGCTCCTTCAGTTACATAAGCCCTGCTCACACCCCGACCCAATTAGGGAGGTGAATACAAAGGCTCCTTGGCAGCATTCACACAGGCTCTGATCACATCCCGACCCAATTAGGGAGGGGAACGCAAAGGCTCCATGGCTGCATTTACACAGGCCCTCATCACATCCCGACCCAATTAGGGAGGGGAAAGCAAGGCTCCTTGGCTGCATTTACACAGGCCCTGATCACATCCCGACCCAATTAGGGAGGTGAATACAAAGGCTCCTGGGCTGCATTTACACAGACCCTGATCACATCCTGACCCAATTCGGGAGGTGAACACTGCATTTACACAGGCCCTGATCACATCCTGACCCAAAGTAGGGAGAGAAACAAAAGGCTCCTTGGCTGCATTTACACAGGCCTTGATCACATCCCGACCCAATTAGGGAGGTGACTACAAAGGCTCCTTAGCAGCATTCACACAGGCCCTGATCACATCCCGACCCAATTAGGGAGGGGAATGCAAGGCTCCTTGGCTGCATTGACACAGGCCCTGATCACATCCCGACCCAATTAGGGAGAATCACAAGGCTCCTTGGCTGCATTTACACAGGTCTTGATCACATCCCGACCCAATTAGGGAGGGGACTACAAAGGCTCCTTGGCAGCATTCACAGAGGCCCTGATCACATCCCGACCCAATTAGGGAGGGGAATGCAAGGCTCCTTGGCTGCATTGACACAGGCCATGATCACATCCCGACCCAATTAGGGAGAATCACAAGGCTCCTTGGCTGCATTTACACAGGTCTTGATCACATCCCGACCCAATTAGGGAGGTGAATACCAAGGCTCCTTGGCTGCATTTACACAGGCCCTGGTCACATCCCGACTCAATTAGGGAGGGGAATGCAAGGCTCCTTGGCTGCGTTTAGACAGGCCCTGATCCCATCCCGACCAAATTA